TCAGAGAACGCCAAACCGCCATCATGTTATTATCTATGTTCACGCTCCTCATCAACAGTATGCATCAAGAACATACATTGCAAAAATTAATCATTCTATTATCTGTTGATACTTGTTGTTTCGTGTTTTTATTCTGGACCAAACTGACCTACCTTTTTTGCCATATGGGCTCCAATAAGGATGCCTCCGTATTGCCTGAAAATACATTATGTTATAACTCACTTGGTGGTAGCTAGCAATTTGATCCGGAATGTACGTTTCGTCTTATTTGGGCTTCGTCAGCTGCACGTACCCTCACCCCAGTAAGTGATGATGTTCCTAGCTGATACTGGTTGTGCCCCAAGGGCTCAGTGGAGAACGTTATGGTATTCGAAGCGATGATGCGGGATCCGAGTCTCATTGAAAACACCTCCACTCCTTGCAATGCAAGTACATTTAGCTGACGAGTAGTAAACAGGACGGAACGTGTGTCCTGCATTCCACTGCTAGCCACCACCAAATAGATTATTAGCCAGTCCAGTTTTAAAACCAGTGACTCTGGTTGTAATATAATGTCAGCGAGTTGAAGTGACTAACTAGATAGTGATAAGTTCGCAAAACGAAAATGACGCATGGCGATACTTGGACTGAATGCAAGTAACGACCTGATACTTCACTGAGCCGCGGAAATCTGAAGACAACAACCGGCCTATGACTGTGGGGAAGACAACTTTATTTAACAAAAAGTACATCATGTATATGCAGTTTGCCCTCAGGAAATCTAAGCGACCAGGTCACAATTTTGATGTTTATTTTCATTAGTCAACTGAAGGATTTTCCACTCACATGAAAGCAAGTTTGAAATCCGAAACTTTTATCTTGTCGGCTGATGACGTTGAATGGTGATTTTGATTTAGGTTGATTCCTATCGCACTACATGACATAAGCAACTTTAGTCAAAAGTGATCATCTTTACCGCCTGCTCAGGGTGTCAAGCGTTTTTGCTTAAAATAAATGATAACTGCTTAGTTCTAAGGATTCTGGTGAATAACTGATGAGATAGGTATCCTTCTATTAATCGGTAGTTTCATAGATTTGTGATGAAGTTGATCTCCATACTTTCCTCATGTTCTTGATCCCTCAGTCTAACACTGTCTGCCATATCAGGCAGCTCTATTCTCACCAAATGAATACTTTTCTGTGTATAAATCCTTCTTTAGCGAATGTTCTCATTTTAATGGCTGCAATTAACACTTTTAAACATATATATACAAATATTGGTTTCACATTTATTGATCAATTGTAGAAATGAGTTTTCATAACTTACTCCTCTAACAGTTAACTCTTTGTCTAAAAACCTTTTCTTATCCTATAGAATTTCATTCAACATCTGATTTGACAAAGTTTAAAACTCGAAGCTTAGAATACAGTCGAACAGAAGAACAATTTACCAACAGCATATCGAACAACATTGATCTGGATAATTATCACACATCAATGTCTTTATTAGTCAGTAAAGACAGACAGAAACAATACTCAAAACAAACCTATATTTATCAATCAACATTATCTCGTCTACCAGTGACAATAAAAAATCTCAGTTCACGCACATGTAGTAGTTGTAGTAGTAGAAGTAGTGTTAGTATTGATGAAACTGTTGAGAAATTGAGCAGATATGCAAAACATGAGTTATTTGTATGTCGTGAACCAACATACTATGTGAATATTCTGACTAAATCACAAACTTTCCCTAAACACTTGTCTCGAGCTGAATTGAAATTAAATCACTCCAGTCCAACTTCTACAGGATACGAGAATAAATTTGAAATGACTATCCGAGTAAATGATTTGCATAATACATTGGAAAGAGAAAAATTACACCATGATTACAGTCAACGATGGTCAACTAGACATAGAATGTATACATCACTTCCACGTACTAAACATGCACTAATGTATTATCCTCAACCAGGATCTCCTGGAATAATGTTAGATTCATCTGGACCTGATAAAAGTCAACACAGTCATCGATCAACCTCTGTAAAATATGATACAGGTGAAGTGTTCTGTAGATTATCGATTTCTCCTGTAAAAGTATTTGAATTGTGCGCTTAGATTTTACCGCCTTGCTAGTAGTAACGGATACATTCAACCGAAATGTGTTTATAATGCACCTGCATTTTACCTGCCATTAGCATAAATCATACACATAAATTGCTTCATCCATCTATTGCGTGTATGTGTTGATGTGGTTAGGTTTCCGTAAATGAGTTTCACTGAGCCTTCCTAGTGTTGCTACAATTAGCAGTGAAGTTAATTTTTTTGTTACCTAAAATGTTTGCCTAGTGTTGTAAAAGTCATTTGTTGATTCAATGTGTGCTGCTCTTTTTTTTCCCTATAGTTTTGACCATTAAACTCTGTAGACTTCATTAAGAAAATTGAAATTGTCATTTGGCTATCAGAGATAGCCGTGATTTGGCAGACTAGTATTTATACGAAGTGATGATTGAAGGTGAAATGAGAATTTGAACCGCGGTTAGATTCGAACCAGAGACTACTGGGTTTCCAGCTCTCGTACCTCAGTTGGTAGAGAATCGGGAAGAAAACCCGGTGGTCGCTAGTTTGAATCCGACATCGGTCCAAATTTTCATTCTACTTTCAATTAGAAGTAGAAATTAGAACTTCTCAATTGAGACGATAATTTAATCCTCTTAGAAAAGACCAATATGTCTGGTAATCCAAATTAGCCAATGGTATTTCACAAACAAGTCAGATTTCTCAACCAATAAAAATCCTCCATCTTAATAATTATGTTCTCTTGATTAGCAAAACTTTTCAATCTCACAGAATTGAAGTACTACTGATTTGTGTGTCTACTTTGATATCGAAACGTTTCGTGAAGGAGACAAAATAAGCTGAAGCAATCTAATTCAATCGTATTAGTTGTGAGTAAAGTAGTGGAGTTTTAAACATTAAAAATATCACACAGATAGCTAAGAACTTCTACACTTCAGCATGCTCTGATGGGATAGATATTTTATACAAGAGAAACAATTTTATATAACTTCATCTCCAATTCTTTTCGACCAATAAAATAATTCTATAGTCATCATTTTCATTGGTTTCTTGTAAGGCTGTACTCTGAGTGAACAAAAAACTCAATAGGATACCGAATATAATTCCTTCACAGTTGAATATATATTTTCTGAAATTTTACATAGGCATGACAACCACCTAAATCTTGACATAAATACACTAATCAACATGGTTACAGGATGCATCAAAGTACATTCTTTTAGAAACAGTAGCTTTTTAGATAAAGTTATACTGAAAACATTTGTTTCCCGAAACAAATTTAAAACAAGCAACAAATGTAATTAAAGCAGTATCTATTCACTTCATGAACTTCAATAGGACTTGTCAGCTTTCTACTATACATACATGATTTCATATACTGTTGTGCAATAACGGAATATATAAACACATAATACAGCAGACCAAGGCATTGGTTGAGGCATGGGAACACAGAGTGAATCATTTAGTTATGTCAAACAGAGCTAAGATTAGGTTTGGGAAGGGGTTAACGAATCGATAATGCAAAATAAAAAGACTAGAGATGGTAGTAGAATCGAGGACGTGCATTTAATCCTGAATCTGTCTGCACAGTTGGATGTGCCTCCACCCCAGTGAATGATGATGTTGTCAATGAGACCGGAACCCAGTATCCATCGCTTCAGACTCCAGAACGTTATCTATTAGGCTACTGAGTCACTACAGTTATATCTTTTGCAACAAGTATCAGTTAGTATTTTGTGATACTTATAATTTCCCGTTATTCTACAAGACTGAACTATTCAATCACTGATGGTATATGGACTCCTATGTGGGTGCCTTAATATTACCCGAAGACTTATTATGGGATACATATACTGGTTGACGGTGGCCATCCGTGGAATCCACAAAATCTATTTCTTCCTGTCGCGGACTCGATGGCTCAATCCACCTGCAAGCCAGTGAGTAATCGTTCCAAATAAGAAGAACCACGTGCGCTGAATGCCACTGTTAGCCACTACCAAGTAAATTATAACCTAGGAGTTAACCTATCTGATTACCGATGCTTCAAACACATTTACTATCCCATTGTGTGTAAATATTCGTTATATATTTATAATTTCCCGTTGCTATACAGGGTCGAATTGTTCGACCTCTGTCGGCACTTGAGGTGGCTGTCGTACCCTGGTGGCTTAGTAAACAACGCTCTTGTGTTTGAAGCGAAGGGCACTAGGTGCGAACCCCGGCGGGGCCACCACATTGAGATGCAGGTACATCTAGCTTGCGAGTCTTAAATACGACGAAACGCGCATCCTGGATCCCTCTGCTGGTCACCAGAATCAACATAACATCCTACATTATATAATTGGCAACACTGTGAATAACTATTCCCTCCCATGAATAAGCCAATGTTTGTTGCAAAGAAGAATAAATAGCAAATTTTATGCTTTTTTAAAGTTGGTAAAATAATTATTGCCTAGGATTTGCCCAATTTATAATTTCCCCTCAAATGCAAAACTTCACACTTTAAATAAACCATCATTTGTGCTTCCTAGTAACACATGAATTGGTTCATATTTTCTGCCTTATTTTTGGGTGATATTTTTTATAACAACGCTCTAAAACATTTGGTGTTTACTTCTATTTCTAAACTATTTAGCCTTTTTTGAAGATTCTAAAGCTTAGTTATATTTACCAATGCACATTTTTACTCCCTATGTTTGTGTATGTTGTGCCTGTGTGTGTGGAAAGCGTGCGCAATCTAAACAGCGGCTTTTTTGAACATCTCAAAAATTCCTCCTACACATTGATTATTATAACTACTAAAAATCCATTGGCTTTTTACACACCAATAAGCAATAATTATGAGTGCAGTGGCTAATTTATTACATACACAAATGCATATTCAACTGGAAATTTTCATTGCAAAGGGTTTTTGTCATTTTTTTTCTCCTGAATCTTTTTTACAGACAATGATCCTAAACATTATCGAAGGTCAAGATATCCAAACTTAAATTATAAAGGTAGGTTGTATTTTTTTTATCCCTGAGTCAAACATTAGTTCAGTCGGAGGTTGCTACTGAATATTATTAAGTAGTTTAAAATTTATCCAAAAAGTGTCAAAAAATTGTTTGATATCAGAGACCGGTCATTACTCGTTCAATTGTATCCTAGAGCTAGAAACATCTATAACGAGACAATAAGCTTGATAACTACTCATATACTGCGACATAAATCAGAGCTTTTCTCGTCATTTTCACTTGAGATAGATTAAAATATGCATCACAATATCCTGGAGACGGATTTTACAACAACTGACACTTGTTGACAAAGCTTACCTGAATTATAGAACAACTCATCAGAAAGCTGATTCATTGATATATTTTGGTTAAATAATGAATTATTCCGTGACTGAATGATACTTGTGTCAATAATGAATGAAACCGTAAAAATGGAGAAACTAATTATTCAGTTCATCATATATTACAGTAATCACTCTTATCAGTAGAACTACTTTAAAGAAGTATTCCAGTCAACCACTACAGACAGAATTATTGTCCTTTTCTTCTTGGAGTAGGGACCTTCAGTAGTTTTTGGGTGTGTTGAGTTCATCGAAGTGGGTGGTTTAAGCGCGAAGCTTTCGTTGTCTTTCTAGACAACATATTCAGCATTAATTTCAATGTGAAATGAGCTATCCGGATATCTAAGTTAGTGGTTAAATAACTTGTCTGATGAATCAGTTTGTGATTGGAGGGTTCCCTTAACTGGTACTTCCTTGACTGCATAGGTTTTCCCACTGGCCATTTCTCTGCCAGACCTCTGAATTTGTAGTTATTTTGGATTTTTCTTATTGATCGGTAGATTATACTGACTGTTGACCGACCTGAATGCCAAGCTTCTAGAAATTCTCTTACATTCTTTCTGTTTCCAATGTCCAAGATGCCTGCATTTTCAAGGTTGAATTCATATTCATAGTTGTACGCGAGCATTGAAATGAGTGATGAAATGTCATAACATTTAACTTTTGAGACGAATGGGATTTTAATTTAGAAGTACTGTTCATCATGGAATGATATCAGTTGGGAAACCATTGAAAATCTGGGAGCACTGGACAGCTGTTTCGTCCTAGAATGGGACTCCTCAGCAGTGCGCACCCATGACCCGGCTAGTGCTCCCAGATTTTCAATGGTTCCCCAACTGATATTAGTCCATAATGAATACTACTTCTAAAATGACGTTTAATAGCCACTTGATGTTCATGTAAAGGAAGGCGAAGACGGAGACCACTTTTTCTAATACATTGTTGATCACAATTATTGCAACTGATTCTGTAAATGATATTCGGTTTGTCTTCTTTCATTGTTGCATCCTTTGCTCTGTATAATATAGTTTGAAGGGAATCAGTTAGATTGTGAGCCACACCAATTCCAAGTGGTCTCAGTAATCTAGTCGTAATCTCTGATATATTCTTCATGTACATTGGGATGATTCGTTTATTGATTTCTGTGGATGACTTTGTAGTTGATGATGAACAGGATAGTGAGTCATCTTCTGATAAAGTTTCGTGGGTAGTCGTTCATCTTCAAGATAGGCATCAAGTAATTTTCTTTGTTTCTCCGTGAAGTTTTTCTACTTCAGTGTATTCTTGCTCTTTTGAATGAATGAGATCTATACACAAATTGTTTTATGCGTTGTTGGGTCTTCGCTACTGTAGTTGAGGATTTGATCAGTATACGTTGACCTCCTGTACATCTGAGTTTCCAATTCTCCGGTAATAGTTCTACTGACTAAAACATCCAGGAATGGCAGTGGGTTGTTCGATTGCTTCTTTATTGTGAATTTGATGTCGTTGAAAAGTATTTTGATCAAACTATCAGTGTTCTCTTAATCATCCACAAAGTAAATCCAAATTTTTGGTTTCATCACCAGTAAAATGATGGCTTTCTGTCTCTACATTACTTCGTCTGCAATTAGTCAGGGTATCGGTGATCCCATTGAGGTCCTGTTCATTTGTTTGCATATCTTACTGTTAAACTGGAAGTGTGTTATTAGATAAAGATTAGTGAGTTTTATCAGACTTGAACACTAAAGTTTTGTGAATTTTGAAGGCCTTGTGTTGTCCGTTAGGAAAATTATAAGATCCTTAGCCATTTATGGATTCATTTGATGTGTATAATGCTGTGAAATCTAATGACACCAATAATTTGTTATTGTCTATGTTAATGCCTTTGATCCTTCTTTAAAATTCCGTCGATGATATGATCCAATGTTCGCAGGAATCCATGAGGTATTTTAGTAACTTTGAAAGCTCTCTGGAGAGATTGTAGACTTTGGTTCATGGAGTTGAAACTATTGATATTAGAGGAATATCTGATAGTTAATCCGTATTTATCAAATTTATCCAAATTGATAAGTCTTTCCACCAGCATAAGACTAGGTATTACTGCATAACGGTCCGAATTGCCACAGCTCATGTCAGTATGCCAAATAAAAAGGTAGTCAAGTGGAAGATGAAGAAGAGAAAATTCAGTCAGAAGAGATACAAAGTATGAAAGGAGAGGAAGAAAGAATGAGAAAATGATGAGATTCGGTGTATCGTCGTTTAGATGAGGATAACTTACATCTTCTCCCTGAAACTATACGTCAGACTTCTGCGTTACTCATGTGGTGACACTACGGAATACTGCCTATACTACGATGCCAACGGTGGTCAAACACTTGAAGCTTTTTTATGTCTTCCACCTTCATTGGTCATGTTTCACAGCCATACAGTAAAACAGACCGGACCGCTGTGCAGTACATGCGACCCTTAACAGACAATCGGATATCACAGCGGCCCCATATGTGGCGTAATTTGGCGAAAGCCAGTCGAGCCTTTTGTATCCGTGCAGAGATTTCACTGTCCACTGAGCTAGCCACCAGGGCTAACCCTACTTTTCAGGTAAGTGAAGCGGTTGACACACTCAATCACTACACTCTCTATTGTTAGCCATGGGACCGTTGAAGATCGATCCTGGAGCAACAATTTTCATTGGGGTGGTGAGAAACGCATCCCAAACATTCTCCAGTTGCCACTGAAAGTTCCCAGAAGACTCTGCATCTTGTCAGCGCCTTCACCTAACAGGACTATGTCACCTGCATATTCTAGATCTAACAAAAATTCCCCTGCGATTAGGTCAACCTCGGTGTAATCAGGTGACGAGAGGGAGACCTCCATAAGAATATCTATCATAAAATTGAATAAGAATGGAGGTAGTGGGCAGGCACCCTTGACGTACACCACTCGATGAGCCAAGTAAAATAACTGAAGGTACTTAGCATCAAATGAAACGTCTGTTAATCACTACTTCAAAGTGTGCGACTTAAGAGATCCTACCTGTGAAATTTAACAGCAGATTCATTGTGATGCAATGCGATAGTAATTCTCTAGATTATTTTAAGTAAGCTGTATTCTAAAATTGTGTTTTGAACTGGGTAGGTGAAGACTGGAATAGTATTCTAAGTAGGTAAAGAGATTTTCCCTATAATTAACCATGAAACATCACCTTTGAGCTTTTTCCTGGTCATATGCATCGGTGCATATTATGCAATCCATTTGTTATGATTTGGAAAGTTGTTCTGTGCTATGGCCACTAACGATTCACGAATATCGAGTGTCAACCACCAACAATCAACAAATTCCTAGTTGATTCCCAACCGGACTAGTTAATGGTGAAGACACAATGGATGTGTAGTAACATGTATTGCGGTCGAAAGACCGAAGGCCAAAAACAGGGAAAAATACAGCTAGCATATAGATAGTTTTACTGGTCTTGGTACCTAGCAGAGAAATCCACGACGCGCTTTTCGTCCTATTTGGGACTCGTCAGCTTGACGTACCTGCACCCCAGTGAGTGTTGTCGTCACCGAGGCTCGGACCCACTACCCTTCACTTCAAACACAATAGGCTTATCCACTAAGTCATTTGGGCACAGTTGCCGCGTCTTGCGCTGTTTAAAATAATCCTATTGATTGGCTGATGCACCGTCTGTTTGTCTAACTGTAGACGTGAAAACATAAAACATATTTTGATTGGTCCCTCTCCAGACTAGTATTTTCTCTCTATCCCCATATCACTATCTAACAGTAACATCCATGCATCCATTACGTCTATGTTAGTCCATGATGAACGCTAAATTAAAATCCCTATTCATCTCAAAAATACGTTACTGTATAGTGCTCATTGGTGACATGCTTCCAGATGGATATCATGAAGTTCTAATGAGAAGCCGTGACCTGTGTAGTCAACCAGTCGGAAGGGAAGCTGTTACCAACTGAAGACCTTGGGTGATAGTCACGCTTTATCGTTCATTGACAGAAGTTGGAAACTGTGAACCACTGATTAACGCGTTGGCCATGAAACCTGAAGGTCATCAGTTTGATCCCTAACCGGGTACTGTTGAGGAGTCCCAGTGCTCCCAGGTCTTCAGTGGTTCCTCAACTGACAGTCAGTTCGTGAATGAATACTACCTTTTAAAAATCATGTTTGCACTTGGTTAATCGCTAATGAAAGATTGAAATAATTCTCATTTCCTATCTATAACTTAGTTCCTTCAAGTAAGTTGAGCGACTGACTATCAAGCCACACATCACGTCGTTACGATTATGGTTATTTTTATTGTTGTCGTTTTTGTTCTATGCATCTTTGATGTATTCATTACAGTAACAAAAATCTACAGTTTATGCATGTCCTGTTTCTCCGTACTTTTCGTTCTAAGATGCACTTTAGTTTTAAAAGTATGGTGTTTGTTTTAATTTGTCTTTGAGTTAATTTATTGATTTGCATCACATCAATGACCTTGATGTTGTTTTTGATATTTCTAAAATCTATAATAATTTGTTGTGTTTGTCTCCTTTTTTTTTGGTTTTCTTCCTTATGAATTTACTCGCCTGATTATTTTTCTTTACAAAATAATACCATCAAACAGAAGATCCATCAATTGATAGAAAAGAGAAATTCTTGAAAAACCATGCGAAATCAAAAGCGTTATCTGATATTAACAATACCATGAATAGCATCCTATTGGATATTAGTCAGAGTTTATCGAATCCTACTTCAGAAGGATATCAATTTTATCAGTCATCAACTGATATAAGCTCTATGCTCAGTCCTGAAGTTGATATTAGTGGTAGCGGTGGAGTTAAGAATTTCAAATTCTATCTGAATAAATATGTTGAACGATCAGAAAAGTATTGGAGTCTACCTAGAAGTCATATTCCATTTGATGAACTAACTGGTAAGGATAAATTAAGTGAAAACCAGGAACCAATCGATATGTTATTAAGAGATTCACCACAGAATAATTTAAAATCATCTACTCCAACTACTGGAATAAAATTAGACAAAAGTTCAACGGTAAAACATACAACAATACCTGTGAAATCACCTTCAGACAATTTAGAACCATATAAACGCCAAATAGTCAACATTAAGGATAATCATGATCCTCAAAAGGATAAGGATACATCTCCAGAGGAGAAGACGAATATTGACGACATTTTAAATCGAGCTTATCAAGATGAAATGAATTGGATTCGAAAAAGACATCAGCCAGGATCATTGAAAATTGACAAGTATAATAGTAGTACATCAAGTTTAGGCATATTGGTAAAACAATATGAAGAACAAGCAAGGAACACTTCAAAAGATGAACAAAAAAAATCAAGTTCTATGAAGACAAAAAAGGGTAATACAGATGAACAGCTGAACGGTAGCAAACCTCTTAAGCCACTGAATGATACACATCAGAATAAGCAAAAGGATTCACCTTCAGAACGTCATCTTCATGATATAGCTTCTGGAAGGAATATACAAAAACCTGAGATTCAAAAATCTGCTACAGATACACCTAAAAGACACATAAAAAGTATAGATAACAAAAGTAAGCATGAACAACCATCCGGTTTTCTAGAACCCATCGACAACCGAATACCAGTACCTGATGCTTCAAAGCATTCAGAACCACCCAATCGAGTGAGTAGACATAGTGATACAAAAACTAAATCTATAGACAGAACCAGTATCAGAGAAAATAAAACACTCAGTAAGTTTGATAAGGATCATTTCAATGATCCAAAGTCAAAACAGGAAAATGAACAGGAAGAGAAACATCATCGACATCTACCACCACCATCTCCATCACCTATTCATCATCTTACTTCAAAGAAAGATGATGACTTAAAAAATTCAGAAAAACATGTTTATGATGTTCCTACATCATTTTCTAAATTCAAAAAAGATATGAATTTATCTGACAAACAGAAAGGTGAACTTAGCCACCAAAATCATGATCCATCTCATGAAATGTCGACAACATTCTCAAGAGATTCAAAATTTCGAAAACCAATACATAACATAGAAGGTCCAAATGAAAACTTACCTTCAGATAAACATCAATCTCTACTCGGGGGCAAAGACGTAGATGAGCCTAGAGACAATGAACAATCTAAACTTTCAAAGCATAAAATACAACCCAATGATACAACTGGTTTACATGCTTTAGGAAACCATGAACAAACTTCAAAGGAAAGAAGAAGTAGTGAAAAACATCGTGTTTCAGAATCATCTAGACCAAGTAAAACTCATTATCACTCTTTGAGAATTAAACAGAAGAAACCATATGTAGGCGGTTTATCTACAAAAGATGAACGTATTTCCTCTTGGATTGAAAATAGTAAACAACAAACAAGACAACTATTGGAAGATGGCGAAATTGACAAAACGCCTGAACTTGAACCTCATAAACCAAATATAACAAGACACCGATCTCTGAGTGAAAAACACTACCCAGGCGATAGAAAAATGACTGACAGTGGAACAGTAGAAAAAGATAAGGGCAAGAGTAAACCTATCCGTATAGATGATCATTCAGGTAAGCGAAAAAAGAAAGATAGCAAGATTTCCGACAATACTACGACCAAAACACCAAAATCCGATCAAAAGATTGATGACCAGAAAAATTCTACTCATCATCAAGCTGACAGTGACTATAAAATACAAGACAGTCATAAAAGATCTACTGGTAAACAAACTCAAGATATAAACACTAAAGATAAGACAGAAAAAACAAATGAACAACAGTCATCTGGCATATTACATAAACAACATCCCTCACAAAAAGACAAATTAGGTATCGGAAAAATAATTTCTGAAATTCCACACAATTTGAAAAGTTCAACTTCAGGTAAAAAGAGACAACGTTCAACAGAGGGTTACAAGCAACTTGAATCATCAGGAAAAGATCAGTTAGATCCTAAAGCTAATGAACAATCACATCAACATAAAGATCCAAAGAGTGAAGAAAAACTGCCACGTAAGTCAAAGGAATTCAGTAGAGGAGGTCACGTCAAGAGAAGAACAGATAGTTTACACTCCCCATCAGGTAATTAAAATTTTTTCCTTCCTAATTTAGTCTCTAACATAATTCAGTTTATCAGTTAGATAATTCTGATCAATGATTATTGGTAAGATTTGCTTGGATTTAACTGGGTGAAAGTCAAGGTCAGTTATGTGAATCAACCTGCCACCATGGTTTAATGGTGTGGTTTCACGACCTAACGAACTAACTAGATCCTATTCAATACGGTGTATGCTTCAAAGAATAAATCATCCTCTAAGGAAATAATGCCTTTTCTGTCACAGACGTTTAACAAAGTTAACAAATTAACACATTTATATCACTCCTCACCGGTAAATTGGTATTTTTAGTTCTCAATGTTGTTATCGTCATGGTTACCTTTTTTTCACCTAACCATAGAGAAGAATTATTTACTTTTGATCAATGTGCACATCAGGTTTTTTCGTCGTTTTTCTGTTGTAATGTATCTGTTATCTGCATGCTGGTGGTTACTACCAATTCATTCTGAAAATAATTATTCACAAGTATCATTTTTATCGTATAGACTAAAATTATTTTTCATAATGGATATAAGCTGCCATATGAATGACGTGGCTACAAAACTTTCATCGTTCAAATCAGACCACTTATAAGTAGTATAATGTTATAAACTAAGAATATAGTTACTCGTTAATTATCACTTCAAAGCATATCATTGTCAGATATGTTGTTGCTTGCATTATCCGTCATCGAGTGGGCCGAATTAATTAGCCTCTATTGGCATATGGCCTCTTAAGTCGATGGCTCGATACCGCCTGTATTTGAGTTATATTTTAATGATGAATAGTGGCTAGCAGTGGAACCCAGGATGGCGCGTCTCGTCATATTAAGGACTTGTCAGCTGGATGCACCTGCCTTCCAGTGAGCAATGCTGTTCCCGCTCTGGCATCTGAAGTAATCCGTCCCGAGTTAGAGTCCTAGTGAGAACAACATCGCCTGCTGGGAACAACGTACATCCAGCTAGCGAGTCCTAAATAGGACGAAACGTGCGTACTGGATTTCACTGCTATCCACTATCCGTCATTGACTATTGGATATAATTTGTATTCGTGTATGCCACAGCGTGTTTAAAATGAAATAATCCCAACGTTTTGTACGGAATCCTGGTTCGAACTTCTCCAGGGGAATAAACAAAAAATACCAATAGTATTTAAACGAATACAAAGACGAGTAATTTAATCTTGTCCAGTCCTCTTCGCGCAGTGTGAAATTTTGTCTCTTGTTGTATGGTTAGTGTGTGTGTGTATCTGTGTGTTACTCTCCATATTTTCCTTGATCGTAAATACGAAACAGGTGACATTGTAGTCATTCGGTGATTTTATGAGTACACTCGGTCATATGTGGTGGATATGTATGTCGGTTCGCTTAGTAATAGGGATGAGTGGTATTAACGAATTTTTTTCATTGATTTGTCGGGATATAGTGGGAATGAGTGGTATTACTATTTATTGATATACTTCTAGTGCTCCGTTGTCTCACTGGATCGAATTGTACGACCTCTATTGGCATATGGGCTCCTATGCGGAGGCCTCGATATTGCCCGAATGTTAGTTATGATAATTTGTTTGGTTGCGGCCACCAGAACAATCTAGGACGCTCGTTTGAATGGTAGTTATGACTGACTTTAAAGGCCATCCTAGCGACTGCTGAAATGACCAATCAGGCTTTGGTATTTCGCCTAGAAAAGTACTTTTCCATAAAATAAAGGGATGTGATTGACCATCACATCAGTTGCTAGAATGGCCTTTTAAATCACTCGACTTTCCTATATTTTATGGAAAAGTACTTTCTCAGGCAAAATACCGAAGCCTGATTGGTATATTCAGCAGTTGCTAGGGTGGTCTTTAAGTTAGTATAATAATGAATCCAATTAATGCAGATTGTGTGTTGTTGCTGATGCAGAGATAATAAACTTGAAACCGGTGTTGAAAATAAATACTAGAGTTACTCATCCTGCTTACTAATTAGTCATACCCAATCGGCAGCTGACTCTATTCCATCCTGTCTGCTCTAACTGTCTGAACTTGTCCATACATGTAGGGCTTCGGATGTCAGTTCTTCGAAGGGAGTTTTAGTACATTCTTAATTTCTTTTTTTTTTTAAAGTCCTTTAACAAAATCTTTGGGACAATTGTTTGCATCTAGCGTACGGCAAACTGAATTTACCTCTTCCTCTTTATCCTCTTTCGTTGTAACAAGACGGTTAGCTCTGTTGATTAGATTCCATGCGACTGTTCCTTTAGTGGTCAAAGGATGTGCAAATTGATAATCCCAGTACATGTTATAATGTGTCGTTTTTCTTAAAATCATAATCTCTAATCTATTTTCGTGGTGTCTTTCTATAAAGGCTAGTTTTGATAAGTTGGATTCAACTTTCTTGATGAAATTAATGCTTTCGCACCCATTATTTATATAACGGAAGAGTTCATTCAAACTATTGCGTTTAATGACGACAAATGTATCGTCTACCTACATTAACTAAATTCTTGGAGGTACAGAACATTTTTGTCATTGCATTTGTCCCTTACGAATGCATGAACATATTGAGGATAGTGGAGATCCTATTACTATACCATCTGTCTGTTGGTATAGATCTCCCCTGGACGTGAATAAAGTCGATTGTAAGCATAATTCCAGAGACTTCAGAATTTCTCTTAGATCTAATGGGGACCGTGAACTTATATCCCCACTGAGGCTCTAACCTCGTACCCACCACTTCAAATGTCAAGGCGTTATCCACTATGCCACACAGGGACGATACCCACCTCTTATACAACGGGTAGTAGTTATTACTATTTATTGACATACTTGTTATTCTCTGTTGTTTTGTTGGATCGAATTGTTCGACCTCTATGGGCAAATGGGCTCCCATGCGGATGCCTCAATATTGCCTGAATGTTAATTATGATAATTAACTTAATTGTGGCTAGCAGAAGAATCCAGGATGTGTGTTTCGTCCTATTTTGGACTCGTCAGCTGGATGTACATGCACCCCAGTGATGTTCCCACTGAGACAACAAAACAACGAAGCATAACATGTCAATAATTAGTAACATCCAACAATATTTTGTTATTTCATTCAACTACTGGAATATATTTCAGTAAGCAGATACTGCAGTGGAAACAAATGGGACACGCGTTGCGAACTGTTACGGTGTACGAAATTGAAATAAAATATGAGGTTTGATAGTTTAACCTAATGAAAAGTTAATATTTAATCATGTCGGTTAGAATCTGAACTAACCTGAAGTACTGCCCAGAAAACTGTTTCCAACCAAGAAATACTGACTGGACTGTCTGACGTTCAACACAAGAGACGTGGGAACTAGTTTTCCAGAAAAATAAGTAAGACTATTGCATAATATAGATATTGAATAATTTCTAGAATATGAGATGCATTCCCTGGTTGGAGAAACATCAGAAACCTGGGAGCAGTGGACAGCTATTTTTTCCTTAGTAGTGTGCACCAATTAACTTAAAATCAATAAAGACATCCCCCACTAACCTCGTAATTGAATTAACCTATTGCTCACTGATAACTAGCTTCGAGAGGTGATTCCCGAAGTTGTAATTAGATGTGACTGGTGTGGTCAGTTAAGTTGAACATGTGAACAGTTACTCAATGATAGCATTAGATGAAGGTCTCACTATGTCGTGAAATGGAAAAAGTAGGAAATGTAGACTATTGGAATCCTACCCAGTGACTCAACAGTTGCATGCTGGCCACGGTACCTGAGGGTCTTTGGTCCAATCCCTAACTGGATGAGGTCATGGGTGAGAGCTACTGAAGAGTCCCATGCTGGGATGAAACGTCTATCCAGTCCCCCTAGGTTTCCAGTGTCTCTCATACTAATATCAGTCTATGATGGTTCTACAAATTGCCAGCCCATTTTGGAAAAGAAATCTAATCTTACAACCTTTATAAGAATACAGGGTTATGTTCCTACCTTATATAAATTCTCAGTGTAATAATTTCTTCTACTTGGGAAAATATATATCCCATGACTAGAAGACGCCCTCATTTCAATACGTTTTTGATAGATATCTTGTCGAGTAATCCGACTCAGTACAACAACAGAAGATTAGAAGTATCAAAAAGATCAACTGATACATGGTTCCTGTGTGTCGCTGGCCTAAAGGGTAACGCTTCGACTTTTGGACGGACGGGTGCTGGAATCGAATCTCAGTGGAAACAATCACTCACCGGGGTGGGGTGCAGGTACATACAGATGATGAGTCACAATCCACCTTGTCCACCAATTTGACGATAGAATCCCGTCTATTAAGCCTGATAAAAAATTACATCCAAGCCAAGGACTTCTGCTTGATCCCCAAATAACACTTAACACCTTCATGTACAGTGATAAAAGTTGCTGTCATTGATTCATTGCCTTGAATGAGATTAAATTATATTTTAGCAAGACAAGTTCAGTGTTTGACCGTTACGCTGGCACCAAGTGTACATATTTCATCTCATATTCATTGTGGTGGCTAGTAGTGGAATTCAAGATGCACGTTCCGTCCTATTTGCGACCCATCGGTTGGACTTGCCTGCCCTTCGAGGAGTAGCATTGTCCCCTCTGAGACTTGAACTCAGTACCCAATGCTTTAAACGCCACACCGTTAACCTCTAGGCCACTGAGGTATAAGAACCATCACTTGTGTAATAGGTATCACTTGCTGTAGTTCGGTACTTGTGATTTCCCGTTACTATACAGGGTCGAATTGCTTGACCTCTGTTCATAATGCAAGCTTTTCATTTGTCTGTAAATGAGAGATATACGGAAAGCACAGAAACAGAAAGAGAAGTAGGAGAGATGATGCATAAATGAGTCAGATGTACTGCGCTGCAGCTCACTTTATTCTCCTGTATGACTAAGAAAGATGGCCATTGAAAATTAGGAGGCTTCAAATCTTCAACCCCCATCGCCTTTGCACCACAAACCATGCGTTTCGTTACCACCACATCAATAACGTGGAAATCCG